AATGAAAAGAAAAGGTGATTCGTTCAAAGGATAACAAGACTTACAAATTCTTTAACAGAAAGAAAGAAAATAATCCAATAAGAAAATTGAAGAAACAAAGGGACACATTACAACAAATGCCAATAAAATTAAAAATAACCATAAGGAAATGCCTTAAATTTTGGTATTCCTCTAAATCAAGAAATCTAAAAGAAATGAAGGAATTTCTGTATGCATATGAATCAACAAAATTAAACCAAGATGAACTACTTTAAATCCATAGATAATTTAGATAATAATTTAGACCTATAACCAATGAGTTTGAAGCCATAAGCCATCTCCAAAGGCGGGAGGAAAACAGAATCTGATTAATTCGCTGCAGAATTCAACCAGACTTTAAAAGAACACCAATACTATTTAGACTATTCCACAAAATAGAAAAAGCCTCCAAATTCTTTTTAAGACATCAGTATTTCTCTGGTATCAAAACAAAATATTGCAAATCAATCTCCCACATAATTAAAGATGCAAAAATTCTCAATAAAGCACTTGCAAACAGGATTAGTGAGATGATTCAGCAGCTAAGTACACTGGTTGCTCTTCCAGATGATCTGGGTTCAATTTCCAGCATCCACATGATAGCTTATCATCATCTGTAATTCTGTTTCCAAGGGATCCAACACCGTCTCTGACCTCTGACACAGAAAAGGCTTTCAAGAAAATCCAATGTTGTTTCATGATAGATGATGTGAAAAGGTTAGAGATGGAGAGAGCATAGCCCAACAAAATAAAAGCTATACTACAAGCTTACAGCAAACATCATAGTAAATAGAGAAAAATTGAAAACATTTCCACTAAAATAAGGAAAAAGACAAGGCTGTCTAGTATCTCTGCTTGTATTCAACATAGTGAATGAAGTTGTAACTAGAACAAGACAAGAGAAAGAAGAGGCAACCAAAGGCTTAAAATATTTGTTAAAGTATCACTCATTGCCAACACTACAATCCTACAATCTTATACATGAAACCCTAATTCTAAGAAACAAAATTCTTTAGAACTTCTCAGAAAAGTGAGAGTACAAAATTAACACGCAAAAATCATTAGCCTTCCTATATATCAATGACAAACATACCAAAAAAGAAACCAGTGAAACAATCTCACTTATAGTAGCCACCAAAAAGTAAACTGCATGGAAATAAACCTAAGTAGTGTAATGAAAAATAACTATAAAGAAAACTGTAAGACACTGAAGAAATAAATTGAGGAAGACACTAGAACATGGTAAGGGTTTCCATGCTTTATGGCCTGGAAGAATCAATATTATGAAAATTACCATCCTACCAAAGTTAACCTGCAAATTTAATGCAATCACAATCAAGAGTTCAAGGACAGTCTTCACAGACAATGAAAACAAAATGTTAAAATATATAGGGAAACACAAAAGACTAAGAAGCGCTAAAGCAATACTGATATAAAAGGTATTCCCGTTCCTGAGTTCAGGTTATTACACAAAGCCACAGTAATAAAAACAAAATGGTATTGGCACAAATACAAAAACACATAAATCAGTGGAGTAGAATAGAGGAACTCACACAGAAGTTTCTACAACTAAAGCGATCTGATTTTTTACTAAAAGCCAAAAGCCTATGTTAGACAAAAGAAAGCATCTTCAGCAAATGATGGTTGGAAACCTAGACATCATCATATAGAAGAATGAAACTAGATCCCTATATCTCACCCTGTACAAAACTAAATTCTGAATCTATAAAAGACTTCAATATAAGAGCTGATACCCAAATCTGCTGGATGAGAAAACAACAGTAGACTTCAACATGTTTTCAGATAAGGGTTTTCAGACTAGCAAAGGCGATACGGTCAAACGGCTCTCATGAAATTAAACGCTTTTTGTGTAACAGAAGAAACAGTCAATTGGGTGAAGAGAATTGGTAACTTGAAACTTAAAAAGCTAAACCCCAGTCAGGCGGTGGTGGAGCACGCCTTTAATCCCAGGACTCAGGAGGCAGAGGCAGTCAGATCTCTGAGTTCGAGATCAGCCTGGTCTACAGAGTATGTTCCAAAACAGTCAGGGCTACAAAGAAAAACCCTATTTCCAACAAACAAACAAACAAACAAAACAACCCCAAAACGTAACTCCAAGAAAACAGCCTAATTAAAATATAGGCTATGCATCCAAAACAAGAATAGAGCTCTCAAAATAAAAATTATAAAAATCTAAGAGACTCTTTTAAAAGTCATCAACATCCTTAAACATCAGGGAAATGCAGATTAAATAAAACTACTCTGAGATTTCATTTCACCCAAGTCAAAATGGCCATCATCAAGATCGCAGATGACAAGAAAGAAAATGCTGCCATCATTGTTAATAAAAATAACTATTATAAATTGCTAGTGGCGTGTAAACTAATGCAGCTACTTTTAAAACAAGGCTGAAGGAGTCTCAAAAGCCTAAAAATAAACCTACCATCTGGGCATGTAGCCAGAGGAATTTATCCCACATGACAGAGACACTTGCACAACCATGTGCACTACAATACCTAGAAAGTGGGCAAAAATCGTTTACAAATCAATAGTGCAAGTCCAGCTGAGGCTCCCAGGCACTAAGAAACTGCCTTCGGTCAAACAGCTTGTGATTGTCAGGACAGGGCCTCCACCACAAGACACATTCAAAACACAACGGAAACATAAGCCCAACACTGACTGAAATGGCGCTGAAAGTTCACCCAAGGGGAAATAAGAGAAATGAAAAATAGCATAAAGTGACAATAATCTTCGGAAACAATGATATATAAAATTATCAGTTGACCCTTTCGGGGTCTGTACACTTACCAGACCTTAACAAAGCAGGTGAAGAGAAGGCTGCATCAGGTGAGTGGGCCATTTCAACTGGACTCTTATCATAAGCGTTGCGGGCTAAACTACACCAGTGTTACCACTGTTTAGTGAAGGTTAGAAGCAATCAGCATTAGATTAATTGAAAGCAGTATCAGCAGTTATTAGCATGATGCAATGTGCAAAAGACAATCAAAAATCACTACATAATTTTAGTTCGTCTTTAATGAATTGAGAATTTGATTTCCTTTATTTGGCAAATTAAGTTTGCTTACAGGAATAGACAGAAACATAATACCCACTTACTAAGAAACATTTCATGAGTAACATCCTTTATTGTATAGTAAAGTGTTATGATGCTATGTAACAATGCTTAGAACTCCAAAGGGGAGTCTATCCCAGCAACAGATTAATTCATCTTGCAAACAAGGCTGTTTGTATATTCTCCTAATAGTTGTAAACAGACTCAAGTTCATACTTTGTAACAAGCAGGGAGTAAAGAATGTGGTTCAAGAGCTTTTATTGTCTATCTTTCCCAGAGTCTGAAAATCAGAAACTGCAAAGATTTGCCCCAGCTGCTTTTTTTTTTACTTCTTTCTAAATTTTACTCTTATAAGATAAACATACAGAAACATTCGAAATTGATATTATGGGGCAGGGTTTAAGAAAAAACATTCAACAATAGCAAATAAAACAAAATTTACCCTAATAAGAAAAGTAAGGTTTTCAAAGATTACTGCTGTGACATACATTTGAGTAAAACAAAGACTTGAAGAGAAAATTGAATCTATAAGCTTATTAAAAAGAATCATGTTGCAAAAGTGTGTGTTGGGGTCATTGTTCAACTCTCTGGAAGACTAGTTATTCTCTTTGCCCAGAACACATAACCTGGCTAACACTTTTTATACTTCCACAGCCACACTGTTAGTAACCAAGTCAATATTTTTATATGACATAAAAAAATTTAAGAAAAAGTAGGAAACAGATATTCTGTGACTGTCAACTACTTTTGAGAAATTCTCTCAGCTTTTCACATGGCTGCTCCACTACAGCCCTAAGTAAATAAACACAAGGATTATCAGATGTAAAACAGAAAGAAACTGGTACTTTCCCCAGTCTTTCCTCACTCTCTTACAAGGGAAAGGTCCTTCCTTACGGGAAGGTTTGTCAGTCCACCACCTCTCGTGTTTAAGGGCGCACTATTTGCTCAAGATTCTATCCAGTTTTAACAGGGGCAGTTTTAATCTTGGTTCGCTGAGGAGTTGTTAACCAGGAGTACAACTTTTAAAGCGTCGGTGACTTTGCAATTTGAACAAGTCAGTTCAGGACACTTGAACTGTTGGCATCTCCTGAGCTCCGTGGTTGGGACCCACAACTGGGAACTAGGTGCTGGGATCACTTGGCTTGGGAAGAGGCCAGTTTCATCATGGACCCTAACTGCATGCTATCTTACTTTGTGGCTCAGACCCTGTCTTCCTCAATTTCTGACACACAAATTGGCTGCGGCTCAAAATAACTGCAAAGTGTGACGGGGGCATAAGAAATAAGACAAAAAGTAGTCGCCAGCTCTTTAGGACCTCACCAAAATTGAAGGTCTACGTTTTCAGAGGAAGAGAGGTGGTAGGCACCTTCCTTTCCCAGAATTTGTCGCTGCCATTCTTCTAGGGGCAACTTTGCTGAAAAGTCAACTTGCCGCTAATTTTGGAGAGGAAATAACTTGGGGGTGGGGGGAGAAACACCGAAGTTTTCTAAATGTGGGAAGTGCAGGGTATGGGGAGTGGAGCACAGGTGGGCCCAAGATCAGGGCACAGCCAGGACCACCTATTGCTTTCTGAAAACAACTTGGGGACACAAATTGATCCCCCACAATCGATCCCATCTGCCTCCCGCCAAGGGACTAGAGGAAGCGCACCACCCACTGTACCCAGCAGGGACAAGGTTGTTGTCACAGGCAGCCAAACCTGAGCGCTTGGCCCGGGCTCGTCGCTCCAAGACCTTCCAGCTTACTTCGTCCATGAGTCCCTCCGCCCCCGCCATCGCGCACTGCCCACCGCCCGGGCTGCCAGTCAGCACCGCCCGCCCAGCCCCGCCCCCGCGCGCGACACTGTCGGGAGGCACGCCGGCCGGAAGTGAGCTCCCAGGCAGACGTCGCCCTAGCTCCTTGGGCTCTTGGTCGTCGGAGGGACAGCCCCAGGCGAGCGTGCGAGTGCAGAGCAAGGCAGCCCGTGAGCCCGCACCCTGAGTCTTTTCTCGGTCGGGAGATCGCACGGTGCTTTGCGGCTGCCGTCAAGCGCGGCGGAGGCCGGCCGGGCCGAGGGCGCCATGGCGGCAGGCCTGCTGCCTAGCGCCGGGGCGTTGATGGCGCCCCTGCTCTTGGGGCTCGCGCTGCTGAGCATTGGGCCTGCCCCGGCGCGGGCTTTGCACAATGTCACTGCCGAGCTCTTTGGGGCGGAGGCCTGGGGCACCCTGGCGGCCTTCGGGGACCTCAACTCCGACAAGCAAACGGACCTCTTCGTGCTGCGGGAAAGTCAGTGCTTGCCGGCCCTCCCTCTGTTTGCCCCTCCCGGTGTACCCACGCCCCCTTCTTCCTGTTACCCTCCCTCTTGCATTTCCCAGCCTGGGGGCTCTCTCCTTTTATCTTCATCATCCTTGACAACTTTCCCTTTCCCCAGTTTTCATCAACCCCGGGTCCTGACCCAATCACCGCACGTTTTGACCATGCGCCCCCAAACCTTAGGAACACACCATCGCCCTTCACCCAGGAGCCTGTAGCCTTCACCTGGTGCATAGTCACCTGCCTGACAAAGTTCTTCCTGATTCCTACTAGTCTTGGTTTCTAGCCTCTGAGTTTGTTTTCCCTTCTTTTGTCCAATGCTCTGCCTCCTTTGTTTGGAAAAGGCGGAACAGGACAGAGAAGTGCACTCACTGCCTCTACCATTTGCTCAATTCATTTAGTCTTCCTTTAGTTAAGATCCTCGTCTGAAGGCACTGTGCCTTCTTGAGGACCAAACCCACCACAGCGCACACAAGCCTTTTTTGTTGTTAACTACTGATCTCATTCTCAAACTACAGACTTAGCCAACGTGAGCTGCCTGGTCTGTAGAGTACATCTGAACCTTCCTCACCCTAGTTACTGCTGTAGTTTTCGACAGCTCATCACTCTAGTTTTGCACATCACTTTTAGCCAACTTGCCATTCTTGAAGGTTCAATAAGTACGTTAAGCCTTTAAAAGGAAAAAAAAAATGAATGCTAACAAAGTTTGTTCATTGGAAGATGCTGACTTAGGACCAAAGCCATGAATAAAGTTAAAAGCCCATAGAGAGCTGAGTGACAGGGTCCCAACAAGGACTTTTTTTTCTCTCACTTTTAAGGAATATTTATTCATTTGTATCTTTGTGTGTTTGTCTGTTGAAAGAGATTTCTGTCCTGCCTGGTCCCACAGCTGTTCAATCCCAAAGAAATACTCAGAGGCCTACATTAATTATAAACTGGTTGGCCTATTAGTTCAGGCTTTCTTATTAACTAATTCTTCCCCCCTCCTTTTATTGATTTTTATTGAGCTCTACATTTTTCTCTGCTCCCCTCTTTACCTCTCCCCTCCCCTTCAATCCTCTCCCAGGGTCCCCCTGCTCCCAGTTTACTCAGGAGATCTTGTCTTTTTCTACTACCCATGTAGATTAGATCTATGTATGTCTCTCTCTCAGGGTCCTCATTGTTCTCTAGGTTCTCTGGAATCCAACAAGGACTTTTGAGGGTTCTTTCCCACACTGCAGAACCTCTCTCTTATAAACCTGGATGGTTTCCCTGTATTTGAGTAATTACCTGAGTTATAGGAATTGTGCAAGCCTATAGCTAATGCATCCAAACTGGATATAGAGACGCTCCTTAAATTTAAAGATATCCTGTGTTTTACTAAGCATTTCTGAAAGTGTAGCCCAGTGAGCATTAATTGAGTTCCATGGACCCACCCATGTGAAATGTAGTTCCATAGCAAGCAAAGGAGGAATGTTTAGAGGGCTCTGCTTTTTCTGCTTATGTGCTGAATTGTATTCTTATTATTTGTGAGAAGATGTAATAGGAATTCCTGCATCATTGGTATGATGAATCTGTATAATGAAATAAACAGGTTCATATAAGGGAGACCTGATTGAATGCAGAAAACACAAGACTAAACAGTAGCACAACAAAGAATAAGGGATTTTTGTTGGTTTGGGGTATTTTTGGTGGGGTGCGGGGGCGGTGTTTTCTCCATTGCTGCAGATCAAACCAGAGTCTCATACTTGGTGTACAATAGGATAGTTTAAAATGTGTTCTTTATATAAATGGTTCTTTTAAATTAGCTCATCAGCCAATTGATGGAATCCCATGGCTTCACTTTGCCTTGAACAAGTTTGTTTGTCCATACTTCCCTTTCCTACATTCCATTAGGTTAGTGTGAGTATCCTTGCTGTCTGACTAGATAGAATAAAAGGTTTCTCATAGACACCATACCCAGAAGTGTTTAAGCACTGACTAGATGATTTACCAAAAACCATTCTTTCTAAAATCATTTATTTGCTTCTTTTAGGAAATGATTTGATCGTCTTTTTAGCAGATCAGAGTGCGCCCTATTTTAAACCCAAGGTAAACATATCCTTGAGGTAAGTACAAATGATTATTTTTGGAAATATTAGTTCTTATAATGCGAATATGCAGTACCTTGGGTTGTGTTTGAAATTAGTTCTGTCCACCTATGGTATTACGACACAAAGTTCCTGGTTCTGAAGTCTGAGTAGTAAGCAATTTGTTAAAATAAATAAGTAAAAGAATATGTAATGACTGATGAGATGGCGCTTTACTACTAAGTCTGATCCCCTAAGCTGGATCCTCACGGGGGAAGGAGAAAACTGACTCTGGATTGTCATCTGATCTCCACTTATACACTGTCATGCCAACATGCACACACACACACAAACATGCACGCACGCACACAAGAGAGAGGGGGGTGTGGGGAGGGAAGAAGAGAGAGAAACATACAGAAATAAACAAAATGTATTTTTTTAAAAGAAGAAAGAATTGAAAATAAATTTAAAAATAATTCATCTTTACAAAACTAACTTTTGGTGGATCCAGGTCTGTTCCTTCACTCCCTTGCAGACTGCTTTCTTGAATGAACTATGTCTCATGATAGTTCCTGCAGAAGCAGATCACTCACAAAAGTCTCACCATCTTAAAAATATTTTGCATGTGGAAGAAAAGTCAATGACCTGTCCTGTTCTGTTTTGTTTTTATTTTTCCTTTTGTTCTAATGGTGAGTTTTTAATACTGATTTTGACAGAACTGAAATGAAGCTTTTGAAATATCTTAATATTTAAAATGTGATTTAAATAATAGTTCTTATCATTTCTTTTTCCTGGTTGGTTATAATGAAACATTGATCCCAATGATCATGAGCCAACATGATTTGGGAACTCTCAGAAACAAGTTGGATGCTTTCTCTAAACTAATGGAGAAAGAAATGGGTCAGTGCAAACCAAAGTTGCAGCTCCAGACAGTCATGGGATTTGAGCTTAACAACATAGCTTCAATGAAATTTAGTTGATAGTGTTTAAGTTTGAGTACATAGCATCTAGAAAAGATGGCAATGAACACAGCATTTTGCAAAGGTGTGAAAAGATTAACTTGACAGAAAAGGTAGAGACACTTGGGAGAATGACAGTCTGGGGAAAGGACATCCCCAGAGCAGACTGGCACCCTTTTAAGTACTGAAAATGTTTTAATTCAGTTAGATTAGAAAAGAGGAGTCATATATGTTGTACAAAACACAGATTACAAAAAAATGTACTTACATTGTTTAGCCTGTAAATCACATACAGTATGAATTGGGATCACAGACTAAGAGATGTGTTTTTAATCACTGCAGAAATGATAGGAAGATGGCTCACTAAAGTGCCTGCTTCACACACATGAGGAACTGAATTTGCACTCCCATCTAGGAGAGGGGACAAGATTGACAGAGTCCTCCACATCCAGTGAGCGAGCCCACTGAGGAAGGCTTGCACTACCATCTCTGTGCATCCATGTCCCTGTGTGGACTACGTTCTGCTCAAAGTCAACAGTATCTAAACTCAGAGTGCTGTTAACAAAAACATTGGCCTTAAATTAGACTATTGGGAGGAAATTTGTAAATGAATGAAAACGAATTTACTCCCAGAAATATTTTTGGAGTAGTTGATGCCATGAATATTTGGAGTAAGAAAAACAGAAATGGATAAGTACAAAAAATGAGCTAACCACCTAGAAATGAAGGTTTTTTTCTTTAAGAATTATAAGTCAAGGAAATATATACAATATAAAGGGCTTGAGTTTTAGTTTGGTTTGGTTTGAGTTGTTTTTGTTTGGTTGGTTGGTTGGTTGGTTGGTTGGTTGGTTGGTTGGTTGGTTGGTTTTTTGAGGCAGGGTTTCTCTGTGTAGCTTTGGGGCCTGTTCTAGAACTTGGTCTATGGACCAATCTGGCCTTGAACTCACAGAGATCCACCTGCCTCTGCCTCCTGAGTGCTAAGATTAAAAGCATGAGCCATAACTGCCCAGTGAGTTTTATTAGATTAAATAAGACCTCTAATTTTTTTGAATTAATACATAATTGATTAATAATAATTAATGTTAGAAATTGCTATTTTAATTTCTTAAAGATTAAGTGTGTGTATGTGTGTCTGTCTGTCTGTGTATCTGTGTGTCTGTATACGGGCATGTGAGTGAGTACAAGTGTCCAGACTGGGCTTTGACTCCACTGGAGTCACATGTGTTTGTGAGCTGCCCTCCCTTCCTGGTGCTGGGAACCAAACTCCTGTCCTTGGCAAGAACGGTACATTTTCTTAACTACTGAACCCTTTTTTCAGCCCTTTGTTTTAACTGTTATCTAGAACACTTTTGAAAGTAAAGCTAATTGTCTTTAACCTGCACTCTATTATTCCTCTCAGATTTTAATCTTTAGTGTTTATTTCCATATTTTCAAATAAATTTTTGCACAGTGGTTTTGTTTTGGTTTTTCTTAAACATTTATTTTTTTAAATATATGAGTATACCTGAGTGTCTGCAGGTGCACTGTGTGCAAACAAGAACCGCCACAGCTCAGAAAATGGCACTGGATCCCTGGGAAACTGAAGCCATGGTTCTGAACCATTTTGTGGGTGCTGGGAATCTTACTCATGTCCTCTGCTAGAGCAGCAAGTGCTATTAACTGCTTAGCCATCTCTTTAGTCCCTTGTATTCGTTTTGCTTATGTTTAGGGGATAGTGGAAGCCAAATCCAGAGCCTCATCCATACTACACAAACACTACCACTGAGCCAGAACATTAAATATAAATAAGTTTTCTATTGCTATAGCTTAGATTTATGGTATTATATAAAATGTTCTATATTCTATTCTGTAAACTAGAAGGTTCTACATACCCAAGGGGCATAAGATACAAAAGAAATAATAAATTTAATTTTTATATTAAATACTGAATTTTGAATTGAAAATATTTTGCACAGTAAATATATAGATGTCCTTTTCTGCTGTAACTTTTCTGTTATTTTGTAAATCTTTATTTCCCTTAGGAGTCACAGTGCATTAGTAACAAGTGTAGTCCCTGGTGATTATGATGGGGATTCACAAATGGATGTCCTGCTCACATATTTCCCCCAGAATCGTAGCAACAGTGAATTAGGAGCTGTTATCTTCTGGGGACAAAATCAAACATTAAGTGAGTTTTAAATTTTTTACTATTTATTATTGGCTGGGAAAGATAAATTGTGAAAACATACCTGATATTCTTAATGAAAATGAAAGTTATTGTTCCTAAAACAATTGAATATTATGTTCTTGTATTCTAGTAAAATCTTCTTTTGCAAACTAGCGTAGTCCATTCCAGAGAACAAAATCCTCTCCTGATTACCTCAAGAAGAGATATATTGTTAGCTTTTACGTTATTGCAGTAACTAGAGAATTAACTTCAGGCTTACTATGATGGCACACACCTTTAACTCAGCACTTGGGAGGCAGAGACAGGTGGATCTCTGTGACTTCCATGCCTGCCACAGCTAAATGTGAGCCTTTGTCTCAGGGGAAAAAGAGCACTTTAGGACTTTGGGGGAATAACCCTAAAGACAATAAGGAAGGTACTGTGTCCATTAGCCATGAGAAGTGGCTGGGTGCACAACAGCTACTCTGATGATGCCCGTTCTCACCAGAGTCTGATCAGCAAGTGGATAATGCGCTTAGTCTCTTCAGACTGCCAAATCCAGTGCAGACATGCAAAGATGGGTGTACTAGAATTATAGACGGTGCCTTACCACACGTGCCAGCAAAAGTCAGTCTCTCTGGCTAGCAAGTGTTTTAGGGTTTTATTGCTGTGAAGGGACACCACACTGTGACCACATAATTCTGGTTTACAGTTCTGAGGTTTAGTCCATTATCATCATAGTAGGAAACATGGTGGCAGGCAGGCAGGCAGACATGGTGCTGGAGAGGGACCTGGGAGTTCTACATCTTGATCCGCAGGTAGCAGAAGTGAGTGCAACAGTAGTCCTATCTTAATCACCTGAGACTTCAAAGCACACCCCCACAGTGACACACTTTCTCCCACAAGGCCACACCTCCTAAAAGTGCCACTGCCTGTGGGCCAATCATTCACACACATAAATTTTGGGGGATCAATCTTATCAAACCAACACAACAAAGCTTACATTTATTTTGCATTGCAAATGCGAGGATGTCTGGCAAGCCCTCCTTTTTGCTCTCTACTCTTCCAGTACAGAAAAGTACTAAAAGTATAGATTGTGAATCAATCTACCATATCCATTCACAAATATTGAAATCCTATCTGAAAAGCCAATTGCTAATTCAGAAGTAGAGCATCTGTTGAAAGAGTATGCAGACAATACTCTTACTGCGTCCAGGCATCCTTTAATCTACAAGAGTGCCTTATGCAGTGCTGCTTATGAAAAAAGCATGGACATGCAGAGTGGGAGAGGTTCAGACCTGATATTTTATTTGTCTACATTGCAGTCTAGTTGATTATCAAATTGTATAGAAAAAAATTCAGCTAAAAGATATTTAGATGGAAACCTCAAATGAAACATTCAATTGAATCTTAACTTAAAGTGAACTCTTGTTAATGGCTTATCACTAAATAAGGCTTTTGATGTCTCCTTAGTGATAACTGTTACAGGAAATTAAAGATGAATCTTGTAAAGAATGAAAGAATACTTTTTAGATAAATGCCACTTCATATTCACAATTATCGTATGCATGTATGTGTGTGTGGATATACTCATATACATCCCTTTTTTTACAGATACTAAAAACATGACCATACTCAATAGGACTTTTCAAGACCAACCACTGATTATGGAGTAAGTATGTGCTTGCTTTTGAACAATTTAAAACTTAGAAACATAAAATAAATCTTTTACGTAGGAAGGTACTTTGCCAAGTAAGAATGACAGTAAGTTCACTTCTTATAGGAATCTATATGCATGATTACATGAGATTTGTTTGCTATGATGAAGGAAAGGCACAAATGAAAGAAAAAAGTGATTATCTTGAAGAAAGGAATATACGGATTTCGATGACTTCGTATGTGTTACTTGTGGATCTATAATGATATGTAGTCATGTATCATTCTTTAATTAAGATAACAGTTTCTGAGTTAAAATGTTCATTGAAAGATATGAAGAATATAGCATCCCCTCCAGAAATAGGAAAAGATTACCACATTAGAAGAAAATGTGGTCCTTCTTTATCTTCCTTTTTTTTTTAATTTATTTCCTCAAAATAAACAAGATGACTAAATCTAAATTTCAAGATGATATTGGTAATGAGGTAAAGATCATTCTTGGAACATAAACTATGGTCACATTCTTGTTTCCAGTGATGCCATTTATAGCTAGTAAAGTCATTCCCATATCATGGGTCAATGGTAGTGAGATACCTGAAATATAAACTTGTGTATTTTTTCATTGTTGTAGTAGTCAATGACAAGTTTGAGTTTTTATAGCAGCTAGGGATTCTTTTGTGGGTTAAGCCTAAAGTTTCCAGAAATTAGCACTGTTTCCCTCACTGTCGGGGAGAGACAGGAGCAGAACATCTTAATGAGCCCTTCCCTGTCCACGTGACTCTGCTGTGTACGTGGATGATGGAGGTGTGCAAGTCAAACACGCAATGACTGTGAATCACTAAAAGCTTTACCTTAAAATAATTGGGTTTTATGCATATAATTTTATTGTTAATTTAAAATTAGTCAAATTTACCTTCAAAAATGAGGGTGTTCTTTTTAAACTTTACATAGTGTTGGCAGAGGCTGCTTGTGCATTTCTGGCCACTGAGACCCAAAATAGTCACACAGAAACTATTCATTACTACACTGTTTGTCCAATAGCATTGACATATTCCTGGTTAACTCTTATCTTAAATTAACCCATTTCTATTAATCTGTGTATCACCATGTGGTTGTGGCCTACCAGTAATGTTCTGTTCGGTGTCCAACATTTGTCTCCTGCTGCTGCTACATGGCTTCTCCCTGACTCCGCCTACTCTCTCTTTGTCTCTCTTCCAGCATGGCTATATTCTGCCCTGCCATAGCCCAAAGCAGACTTATTCATTAGCCAGTAAAAGCAACCCCTATACAGAAGGATGTCCCACATCAACATAGGAACTAAATCTTGGCTGCACATTTCATAGTGCAGAATGTGGAGCTTCTTCATTGTTTTCCGATGATCGATATTTCATTTTCTACACATCAATGCTGAGAATGCCACTTCATATAAATTTTACATAATTTTTTTAAATGGCAGATGTTTGTTTAGGGTCATTTCAGAAATTGTTGGAAAGTCTACTTAACCCCAAGCCATTATTGATTGATTTTTTTCATGAAATTTAAGTGAACAACTTAGAAGTTAATTTTAAAAATCAAACATGCCAACAATACATTTCAAATAGCTGCTAATTTGTTATTCACATGCTGAGGAATGACAGTAGGAAAATACCCCTTTTCTCTCTGTAATGAAACGATTGTGTTTCCATAGCAGCAGAAACTCCGTGTACTCAGAGCACTGCAGTTCATACCATACCGTCCTACTGATGTGAACCAGGAGTTTCAGGCAGCAGAGCCTTGGTTGTCATTGGGTGGTGCACAGTGATTGTGTTGTGTTTATAACCAAACGACGATGCAGTTATATTATAGAAAAATACCTCAGATTCATCATATATTTGCCTTTAAATTAATTTTTGTTCATTTCAAATTCAAAAACATTTTACTGTTGACAAATAGTTGCAACTGCTATATCAATTATGGAATCCCTCTTGAGGTCACAACCCATCCTTTAAGAAGCCAAGCCTTATATTACACAGAACTCATAGATTAACCCAAAATGTCACAAAATAACATTAATTCGTGCTTTAAGATATGTCCAGGATGGGTTAGCAAGAGGCTTTCCTTTATGCTACTGCTTAGAAAGTCCAGCGTCAGAACCCCTCTGTCTCCAAAGGTAACTCATGCAAATACAGTTCTTTTAAGATTATATTATAAATACGTTATTTTGTCCTTCCCTTTCCTCCATCTAAAACCCTCCCACATATCCTTTCTTGCTCCCCTCAATATAACCTGCTCTGTCTCTATGGTGTTACTTATCTATATGTTTAGAAGGCTGACCATCAGATACTGGAAAAGTGGTTGGCTTACTTGTCCCTGGAGGAAACTACTTCTCCCACTCTCAGTCTTTCTGGTTACCTATAGTTCTTTTTGTAGGGTTGGGACCTCCTGGGCTTTCCCACATGCATTTGCATTTTAGCATGTCTGTTATTGTTATCCTCGTTCAACTCATGTTTAGGCAATAATGTTGTCAACACTTCATAGGTATAGCATATATGACATTTTTTAAATTAAATCCTTCTTATTTTAATTGTTTGGATAGGAATGTGCTGTACATTATTCCCCGCTCTTCTTCCACTCTCCCACCTCCCTTTCCATCCATGCTCCCAGTTTACTTAGGAGATCTAGTCTTTTTCTACTTCCTAGCCAGATCCATGCATGTCTCTCTTAGTATCCTTTTTGTTACCTAGGTTCTCTGGGGTTGTGGCATGTAGGCTGATTATCCTTTTCTTTATGTCTTCTATCTACTCATGTGTTAGTACATATTATATTTGTCTTTCTGGGTCTAGGTTACCTCACTCAGGATGGCTTTTTCTAGTCCTGTCCATTTGCCTGCAAATTTCAAGATGTGATTATATTCCACCATATAAATGCACCATATTTTCCTTATCCATTCTTCAGTTGAGGGGAATCTAGGTTGTTTCCAGATTCTGGTTATTATGAATAATGCTGCTTCAGGACAGCCAGAGATACAGAGAGAAATCTTGTCTCAAAAAACTAAAAAGGTAGATAGATGATAGATAGATAGATAGATAGATAGATAGATAGATAGATAGATAGATAGATAGATAGATAGATGCTATGAACATAGTTGAGCACATGTCCTGTGGTATGGTTGAGCATCCTATGGGGATATGGCCAACAGTGGTATTGCTGGATCTTGAGGTAGATTGTTTTCTAATTTTCTGAGAAATTGCTATACTGATTTCCAAAGCAGCTGTATAGGTTTGCACTCCTACCAGCAATGGAGGAGTGTTCCCCTTACTCCACATCCTCTCCAGCATAAGTTGACATCAGAGTTTTTGATCTTGGTCATTCAGACAGGTGTAAGGTGGTGTCTCAAAGTTGTTTTGATTTGTATTTCTCTGAGGACTAAGGATGTTGAGCATTTCCTTAAGTGTCTTTCCGCCAGTTGATATTAATTTATCAAGGAATAAAGCATGTTGATCCAATAAGACACAATGGTTATTTCCATTTTTTTTGTATCTGTTTACGTTTCTTTGTTATCGAGTATGTGGTTGATTTTAGAGATGGTTCCATGGGGTGCTTAGAAGAAGGTATATTCTTTTCTGTTTGAGTGGAATTTCTATATATGTCTGTTAGGCCCTTTTGAGTCATAATATCCGTTAGTTCTTTTATTTCTCTATTGAGTTTCTCTCTGGCAAACCAGTCCAATGGTGAGAGTTGGGTATTGAAGTCTCCCACTATTAGTGTATGGGGTTTGATGTGTTATTTAAGCTTTAGTAATGTTTCTTTTATGAATGTGAATGCCCTTGTATTTCAGGCATAAATGTTCAGAATTGAGACTTCATCTTAATGAATTTTTCCTGTGATGAATATGAAATGACCTTCTACGTCTCTTTAGACTAATTTTAGTTTGAAGTCTATTCTGTTAAATATTAGGATTGGTACTCCAGCTTGTTTCTTAGGTCCATTTGCTTGGAAAATCTTTTCCCAATCCTTTACTGTGAAATAATTAATGTCTGCTTTGTAGTTGAGGTGTGTTTTGTGTATGCAGCAGAAGGATAAATTCTGATTTCGTATCCAATCTGTTGGCCTGTGTTTTTTTATAGGAAAATTGAGTTCATTGATATTAAGGGATAATAATGACCTGCGATTGCTAGTTTGTGTTATTTTTGGTTTTGCTGATGGTAGTGGTATTGTGTGTGTGTGTTTCTCTTCTTAAGATTATTCTATTGCCTGTGTTTTGCGGATGTAGCTAACTTCCTTGCGTTTGAGTTTTCCTTCTAGTTCTTTGTGTAGGTTTATGGCTAGGTATTGTTTAAATCTGGTTCTCTCATGGAATATCATCATTCGCCTTCAATTCCTATTATTCAATTCCTATTAGTCTTTTCATGGTATCTCTGATTTCCTAGATATTTTGTGTTAAGAATTTGTTGCATTTAACATTTTCCGTGACCATTGAATTTATTTCCTCTATTGTATTTTCAACACCTGAGAGTCTCTCTTCCATCTCTTGTATTTTGTTGTTTATGCTCACATCTGATTATTTACCCAGGTTTTCCATTTCCAGAGTTCCTTCAGTTTGTATTTTCTTTATTGCTTCTGTTTTACCTTTATTGCACCTGTTTGATTGTTTTTTTTTTTTTTTTGGTCTTTAAAAGGGGATTTATTTATCTTTTCTAATTTTTTGTTTTTCTGTTCTTCCATTCCTTTAAGAAAATTTTTTCTTTCCTATTTTAGTGCCTCAATCATCTTTATGAAGTTTTTTTTTTAGTTTCATTTTCTTCTATTTCATCTGTGTTGGAATGTTCATGTCTTCTAGCTGTAGAAGCCCTAGTTTCTGGTGTTGCTGTATGGTTCTTTGTGTTGTTGAGTGTATTCCTACCTTGTTGTCTACCCATCTCTTCCTCCAATTGGTATGGATGGAACCTGTGCTTCACAGGGTCTGGTCCCCTAAATTTTCTTTCTTTTAACTTGAGCTTCCTGTTTCTTCTCCATGTCTCCTGGCATCTCTCTTGTGACTCAAGATTCCTACTCCTATTTCCTTTCTCTGCCCTATGACATTTTTAAGAGACACAATTTTACAGCAAACTGGGAGCTTTTTCTTCTGACTTTCCTAATCTTTCTGTCTCCTTTTCTGCAATGACCCTTGAGCCTTAGGTCCAAGAGGAGTTATGTTGTAGATGTATCACTGGGAATGAGTGGTCTTCTTCTGTTGCAAAGCGAATGCATAAAGAAGTTTCCTTGAGGGGTGTGGACTATGTCTGTGAGTATGAGGATTAATATTGAGAATATAATAGGAATCGTGCGGGTTTAGTAAAGTGAGATTGATAGGTTCTTCTCCAAGATCCATATGACATCCCCACCTTGGGTAGTTGACTCCGTCTCCAGTACCAGATATGGTTTCACTGTTGTTGAGAGGGTCTTAGTTACAACTTAATGAGCTGTTGTTTCCCACCATGGTGTGTGTGCCACTGCTGTAACCTTAGGGTTATTATGACATGCTGATTGTCGTTGTTGTTCACTGGAGTCTAGCTGGGTAGGACTGTTAGTTGCTTTCCTACGTTGGAAATTTGCATTGCAACCCCTGTTACCGTGAAAGCTTGTCTTAGGGGAGAAGATATCAGGTGAGTTCTAGCTCAGGGGCCTCCAGACCCTGGGTCTGAAGAGCATGGTGTCTTTAGGAATAGGGACTCATGTAATATTTGGGGAATCTCTTGGATAGCCCTGACCAAAAAGTCAAAAGAGAGCTTGCATGCCTGGTGTTGTGGCTTTTCTTAAATGGTATTTGACCCTTGGAGGAAGCATTGTTATCGTAGGTGAGAAATTTTCTTTCAAGTTAAACATATGTATTATGTTAAACCAACTTAAAATGTATTATATGTATTTTAGATAGATAGCTAATGTATGACTTCTGATCATGCAAACCTAATTCGTATAGACTTCTTATAGTTGGAGGTTTATTGCGGCTGGTGGGTCCATTAGCAAAACTAAAAGACTTTAGTCTGGAAGGGGCAACTGTTGTTTCTGCTTCATTGGCAACAAATAGACACAGTTGAGTATGGTAATATTCCACATTCCTGAAAACTAAGTTAAAAGTGACATTTTAATAAAACAGCTACCTAATTTTTTTTACTATTTTCTTTTCAGCTTCAATGGTGATCTAATTCCTGATGTATTTGGTATCACAAATGAATCCAGCCAGCCACAGATACTATTAGGAGGGTGAGTAACTAGCAGTATATCTGTGTAATTAATCATGTATTCTTTTGCTGCCAGGGCTGTGTGTGGACATTGCTTTTATCTTTCAAGAAAAGCCAACTCATTAGAAATGGTTGTTTGAAAAAAAAAAAATTCAGAGTATTTGGTCAACATGGAAGCTTTCTCAAAGAGTTGGGATTTGATCTTTAACTGTTTTGTATATAAACCTACCTTAGTCTATTCTGCCTGTAGGATACAGGCTTTACAGATCTCTGTGTAAATAGCAGTTCATTAGATGTTGCTGGAATTTAATAAAATGAATAACTCTAGTCTAGTAGGGCTATAATTGTTCTGTTAGCTCCTGTACTTTAGTTCATAAATTGTGCTTCTTTATTTCATTTGTTAAATAAAAAAGTAAATGAATAATTGCCAAAAATTTAAGCACCCCCGTTAGTTCTGGATACTGTTCAGTGTGAACTTTGTCATTGACCAGATATATACTAAGGTTTTAGTATTGTTTAAGCATGCAGTTTAAAAGGTCTATGCCTCAATTCCTCTGAATTTAAATACAATTTTCCCCCTAACTTGGGACAAGTGATGGCATGGTACTTTTTATGAGGAGCCTTCAATATGTTTTCTAATGTTTCATTATTTTCTGCATCTAGTAAGGCAAATTTTTGTGCGTGTGTAGAGATCATATTTGTTTGATTGCTTGTTTTTTTGTTTGGCCTTTGAGGAACTGTAGAGAATCACTCTTTTCAGTATGTCTTCTAATAGTTACTTGACACTCCAACAAATTTCTCTGTTTTTTGAGGCATAATATGTTGTTATGATTTTGTTTTCTAATGTGATTTACAGGTCGACATTAGTACATTGTATTTAAGGTGTTTCATGGAGAAATGCTCAGATTTCCTGCCATCCTTTTGTAAAGCTTTTTTATAAAAAAAATATAAATTTTTGGATACTTATCAAAATGAACTTGTAAAAAAAATGTTGTGAATCTTGAATGAGAAACCTTTCCCCTCCTCCAAACTTTACTAAATATTTGAAGCCAGTTGTGCTCTAGAGATAGCTTAGAAACAGATCTTCATTGGGTTTAGGGCCATTTCTAAAAGTAACAGGATGAGTGACAAGAAAATCATACACTCACCATCACCTCCCCAGCAGGTCGGTACTCCTCAGGAAGCCCAAACTACTCAAAGTCAGACTTGTGACTGAGATTGTGCTGGTGACCCCTGGCTGGTTTTTCATGACATCTCCGTTTGGGCACACATTACTGAAATATCATCACTGTATTTTTTTTTTATTTTACAGATACTTTTTGCAGCATTTCTGTTTGATCCTTTTACATATTTTCAGTTTTCTTGCTGAACTTTGCTACTGTGCTTTTGAAATTGTTGGGAATATTACTTACATCTTCATACATTCTGGTACTTTCTTATTCAGTCCTGAACTTGTTTTCTGACTTCACTTGTGTTCTGCTACTTGAGTCCTTTGTGATCTCTGCATCTTTTGGAAAGTAGGACTCTCAAATCTTTCTGCCATTTCCTTTCATTTCTAACACTGAGGGCATAGAAGGCTGTGGTGGTATCATGCTAACTTGTTTCTCATGCCTTTCATTTTGTTGTTGTGTTTAATGAATTTATTGAGATAGATGTGTCTTTCTGCTAGACACTGAAGATTGTTATTTCCCACCTATTTGTTTATGTTTTCCTGGTGAGTTGTCTTTGGAGGTTTGCTTCCTATTGCTGAGTTAAAGGGGAAACCAAAGGTAGTGGTGGATACAATGATTTGACAGCAGTCCAAATGTAAATAGGCAGTAACAGTACTGTAAACTTCCTGTATTTGTCTAGTATGGCTCGGAGGCAGAAGCACTAGCAATGGTGGGAATGCAGTCTGTACGTTTTTAGAACTAAGGGTGCTGATAGTAAAAGACAAAGAAAAGGAGGGAAGAGGGAGTGGTTTATGAAGAGGAGGGAAAGTATGTGGGTTGGAACTATGAGAGATAATAGAGAAAAGTGTTATAGAGAAGGTGCATGAAAAGAAAGAGGGCCAGCAGGTTGGTCCAGTGTATGTAATGATTGTCACCAAGCCTGAGGAGACATGGCTTTATCCCCAGGACTCATACTGGTAGAGGGAGAGAACCAACTCCCTCAAGTTGACCTCTGAGCTTCACAAGCATGCTATGGCATATGCATCCTCCCAGAATAAGTAAGTGTATGTAAAAATTAAAAGTGAACAGTTATATAAAAAAGTCCCTCTTGCTTAAACATTGCAAAAATTGGAATAAAAAACTATAAATTTTAAAAATAAAGATACAAAATGAAATAAGAACTATATATTATCAGTCAGTATTTCTTCCTAGTTAAGATGGTTTTCCCCAGCACCTTGGTTCTTTCTTTGTGGTTGGCTCTGAGCAGAGTAAGAATACTAATCTCCACAACTCAGACCAGTTAGATCTGTATTTTAGTGCCAAAAGGAGATTGTGTGTCTGTGTCAGCCTTTCTGGCTTTCTTTCTAAAGGCATTTCTTAATTCTTTCTGGTGTGCTGGGATCAAACTCACCTTGTGAGATTTTATGTGGGATTTTATAGGCTTTGGGTTACAAGCCCATGCTTGGTTTTACCTTTGCCACTGATTTTTTTTTTTCTACCTGCCTCCATCCTACCCACAGTTTTTATTTGAAAATATTTGCGCCCATCGGGAGACTTTTTCTGATTCCACATGCTTCTCATGTTCTCATGATATGACTCACCTAGGCTGTAGTGAGTGCAGCCTTCCCTGTATTCTTCAGGCTAGGATTCCAAGGCATGTGTGTAGAATCCCAGCTTCAGTTTTGCACACTGCACCTCTGCAACAGCCGGCACCACCCCGCCATCTCTCAGCCCAGCAGTGCCCATCCTGTGATCTTGTCTCTGCACGTCCACTCTGTCATCACTGAAAAGCTACTACTTCATTTTATTTGACTGTAAAATTTAAATTTGTAAAACAGCAAAAACAATAGTTCAAAAATAAAATTCCAGTGTCTCAAGGACTTTTATTAAATAATCCAGAAAAACTCTTGAGAATAGCATATGAACGTGCCATGTCTTATTTATTTTGACTTTTATTTAGGTTTTCTCTAGCGCTTCTTTAAAAAGTAGTATCACTTTTAAAAATTATTCTGCCTAAAAATATGTTCCTTTATGTTTCTTATAACTGTATTCTTTTTTTAATTTATTTATTTCTTTATTAATTAATTAAAGATTTCTGTCTCTTCCCCACCGCCGCCTCCCCTTTCCCTCCCCCTCACCCAATCAAGTCCCCCTCCCTCGTCAGCCCAAAGAGCAATCAGGGTTCCCTGACCTGTGGGAAGTCCAAGGACCACCCACCTCCATCCAAGTCTAGTAAGATAAACTGTGTTCTTCATATATGCAACAGATTAGACTAAAAGTCTGCTGTTATATGACATCTCTCATTCAAATATCAGTCACAGATTAAAAAGTAGCAGCCAAATTTTCTCTCCAACTTAATAAATTTTTAAAGATGTGTGTGTGTGTGTGTGTGTGTGTGTGTGTGTGTGTGTGTGTGTGTAAGCAAGAGAGAGAGAGAGTTGGGTACCCATTATGCCCAATGTTGTTCAATTCCCTAGAGTTGGAGTTACAGGCAGTTGTGAGCTGCCTGACATGGGTGCTGGGAATTGAACCTGGGTCCTCTGCAAGAACAATATTTACTCTTAACCTATATCCATCTCTCTAGCTCTGAATAATTTTTTAATTCACTCACACAAAAATTTCTCTTGTGTTGGAAGTATAGTTTGTGCCTCAAATTCACTTTACCCTGGCTTGAACCTGTGAAATACTGTATCACGCTGCTTAGAAATGACAACTAGCTGTGAAGTGTTAGAGCATCTTCCACAGTTACATGAACTTGTCATGAATAGGCATTTTCTCTAACAGGGTGTTTGAAACTGATGTTGATAAGCTTTCAGAATACCTTTAGTATTGAAATAAAAACATTTGTGTCTGTAATGTTAGTCAGGGGTAAAAATAAAGTTTTATGCTCAGGATTTCTCTGGGTCACAGACTGGATTCAGACACATTTTTCAGTCAAACCAAATTTTAAATTTCATAATATGAATGCAGCTACATAACAAATATATACTTTACCATTTTCTGTTTATTTCACACTTAAAAGACATGAACAGCAACCATATGTGTATAACTTTTTTTAAGAGTATTGTAAAATTTTTAATAGATGCATAATTATTATACATATTAATGGTAGCAATGTGATATTTCAGTGCCTTTATACCATATGTAATGATTACATGAGAATATTTATTATATCCCCTACCTCAAACGTTTTTGTTTTTATATTTTTTGAGGTTATAATTACATAATTTCCCCTTTCCTTTCCTCCACTGAAACCCTCCCATATATACCTCTTCTATCACTTTCATTAATTATGATTATGTAATGTATGGACATGCTTATTCCTAAATGCAAAAATATACCCTGCTCAGTAGATATAATATTACTTGTATGTATATGTTTTCAGGGCTGACCATTTCACACTGGGTAAACAGTTGGTGAGCTCATCCATGGAGGAGACTATTTCTCCCGCTCTCAGCCTTCCTCATGTTCAGGTAGTCATGTTGGTGAGACTTCAAAAAACAATTTTAGGAGACATAACCTCACAGCAAACTAGGAGAACCTGTTTCCTGGCCTTCCCAATATTTCTGTCCCTCTTCTGCAATGATCCATGAGCTGTATGTTAGGAGTTGTATTGTAGATGTAGCCGTTGAGACTGGCCTCCACAACTTTGCATTTTAATTGCTTGTTATTCTCTGTAATGGTTTCTATCTGTTGCAAAGAGAAGTTTCCTTGAGGAGCGAAGACTGTATTTATCTATGGGTATAAGGAGAAATATTGAGAATGTAGCAGTGATTTAGTAAAGTACATTATCAAAGATCCATGATTTCCATAAGAGTCTTAGGTTCAATTAAATAAAGAACTATTGTTTATCACCAAGATATGTCTGCTA